GGGTTATTTTATAGATAAGTGACTTCAATACCGCTGCATTCTTTTTATACGGGATTTTTTATTGCTCCTTGTACTATAATTATGAAAATGAAGGGGTCCATTAAAGCTGATGATATATCCATAAATGTATTATTATTTGATCTCTACTAATCATATAGAACTTGTTTTCATCAGTTATTCTCTAAATGTATACACATTACAGTATTTTCATCCTTTAATCTGGGTTTCAAACTACTTTGTTTCTGCAAGCCAGCATATTTCAGAGCATATCTATACAATTAGCTTTATAGGCTTCGTAATTCTGATTTACAATGCACTCTTCTTTTACCAATTCTCATTTGTTTATGCTTCGGCCTCGAGTCCAGCTTCCTTGGCGTAAGTTTGGCCTCTATACCTCCTTCTGGTTCATTAGCCAGTTTCAATCAACCGCCACAGCAGCCTTTATTGCTTCGACATCTAGAACTGCACACGGCTGACTTCACATCAGAATCAACACCATTTCCATTCTCAACCGTCTATTCATCCACCATGCATCTCAATCAAGCCCTTTCTCTGTTTCAATCCAGCTCAAGTGCCGCAGCTACCAAGTCGTGCAATTCGAATTTCAATTCCCGCCGGCTGTTCACTGTGGCTGACTGGCGGGTCAGCTCCCTTGCCTGGGAAGAACTTGTGCAAGCGGCTTTTGCATCAAAACTTGACTTAATGTCCATTATCAGATCAACAGAAAGTCTGCATAGTGAGTTAATATACCCTGAAGGTATCAGATTTATGGAGTCGGCCTCATAATGTCTCTATTTATAATACTAATAGGCTTGGGCAGCCCTATTCTATTTAAGACACCATTTGGTGTTGAATTATTGCTTTATTCTACGAGTTGTATTTACTCTATTTCGTTTATGGTGATGAAGGACTGCTAATTAATTTTACCTACAATGATAAAAGTAGCCCTTGTGCTTCCACGGAATTTCCCAAAAGGTATTCTCATCCATGCTTGACTGGACTGCAGTTTTGTCTTTATCTAGGTCTCAGTATCCCCAGATGTATTCGAATCCGAGTAGTGGAGCCTAGATTCTCCACACGTTAATCGTTACGCCACACTGCCACGAGTGCCTTTAGGTCACAGGGCAGAAATGAATTTCAAGGAAGCCTATGTCTTTCCCATATCACATTTCTGTGAAGGGATTTTTGGCCAAATAGATTGAATACAGTTCTTATATAAGATCTATTGGTGGTCTCGAAAGCTTACTTGCACATGAAAACTAAATTATGTGGTCGAGTTATATAGCAAATACAACTCATTCGTCGTCAATACAACCAAATAAATGTGATGTAGGAAAGGCTTAGGATTTCTTGAAATTCTTTTCTGCCCTATTACTCGAAAGCACTCTTTGCCATTTTGTGCACTAGCCAACGTGTCAAGTCTCTTTGCTGCACTACCACAACCCAATTTTGAGTCCCGCTAGTGGTGCTGATGAGATCTGAGCAAAGTCGGCATTGCAAGCCACTCTGGATAAGAATACCTCTTGGGAAGCAAGTCTGTGTTAAATTCAATGATAGCTAAGGCCTACTTATAACATTGTGGGGAAATTCAAATACCGGTCCTCCATCTTAAACGAAGGTGGATGAGTATAGCTCTCAGATAAGATCTACTGGTAGTTTCTAAAACTTACTTATAAACATAATTGATGTTTTGCCAATTACTATTTGAGTGAGAAAATAGAGTCAAGTTATCTCTTCTACGATGTTCTTGGCTTAATTATGATATTGTTGGTTTTTGTGGAATCTTTTCACATTACAAATTGTATTTAAAAATCCCTATTCACTTTTATGTAGTCGCCGTTAAACTTTTTTTTCTAGTCAAAAGATGCCCTGTCTACACCATCTGAAACCGATGATGAAGGCAATTATGCTTCAC